AACAATGCAGAGTTAAAACAAAATGTAGTGGTCGCATATTATATACATATGCACGATAAATGATTCGGAACAATCATTGGCATTGCAATTGCAAAGTCGCAATTGTTTTCATAACTATTTTTTTCTTGCTTTTTGTGTGAAGCAAATTCAATTTCACTAACCTGTAATAGCCACCTCCACGGATCCCTTGTCTATTTGACCAACTTTCGACTCAACTACGTAATAATACGTCCCCTCGTGTGAGTCGGTGACGTTCTGAATGATCAAACTGAAGTCGCTGGTGACATCATAAAGGCCTTCAGGGATACCGTCTAGGAGCACAGTTGCATCTTGAAAGTAGGAGAAAATGACGTGTTCCCTGTCTCTCCGACGGAAATACCAGTATACGCCTTGTAGGTCTCCACGCTGGTATGCCCAAGCCGCATCAGGGGAGCAAGGTACAATACCACGTCGGCCTCGTTCCAAGTACACTTTCTGATCTAGAAATAATTAACGAAATTAAATGGCCCTGAAGAAATTAAAATTGGTTTAGTGACACAATTAAATGTGCTGGGTTGATTTTATCCGATTTCAGACTTTATCAAAACTCATGGTAAAGTCGTACATCCTAAATAAATTGACTTTTCAATAGTGTTTAGTGCCTTTAAGATAATTCTTTAAAAGTGTCCTTATTATGCTGCAGCGTGCATATAAGCACGCCAATGATGTCATCTTATAAATAGAACTATATCAAGTATATATGATACTTTTGACGTCAAAAGTTAGCTAGGTTTTGTAATTGCAAGTCTTCAAACCCCTCGATTGTTTAGAAAACCCACAATTTTCTTTAAAACCAAGCTTTTACATCTTGCCTTTCCATCACTAGAGAAACCAATCTTAACTGGCGTTACATACAAGTTTGACATATTGATCGAATTGAATGTGAGGCTGATTTTTCTCTTTTGGCACATGAAAATAAGAATGAAAGAACAGGAAAAACGCCCGATCCGACTGCTCACCCCTACTTGAACACCAAATACGCAATGCTACAAGCAGGTGGGTATCATAGGACTTCGTTCACCAAACTTGTAAGCATGGCAGGAAAAGCGCACCCACAGCAGAGAGCCACTGCTGCGGTGCACAAGCTAAAACTGGTATAGCTTACAAGTGTGGCAAACGTAAAACATGCTACCATCCTATGATACCGACCTACTCAGAGCATGGTATATTTGGTGTTCAAACCTACATATGTAGCGGTGGATACTCAGATCGGGAGGGAACAAATCCTCGTTACAAATAAACATAATTAATGCTGATGAATTTCAAATTTGTGAAAATGTTTTGTTAATGTCTAAGGCCAAATTGAAAAAATTGAAGTTTTCATAAAACTCCAAACAGTTTGGAACAAGCCCCATTTAACACATTACATTGAGTAAGATAATACGACAAAATAGCTTCTCAGTGAATGCAGATTAGGTGATTAGGCAGTCTTTGTAGGATTCGGGTACCAGTGTTACATTTGCCGTACTGCGCCCCCTGAGGCACTGGTACCAATTTCACAGAGCTTGTAGGCACTTTTGCCGCCTGCCATATGTTGATACTGCCATGCCTCGTTAATAACTAAGAGGTCCCTTGGACCGTGTAAATTACTTTCCTCATGGGAACTGTGACAAAGGAATAAAACAATGAAAACAAAGGATTGTGACCTATGAATCTTCTTGTTATCAGAAGAATATTGTAATATTTGAAAAATCCAAATTTTGCTCTAAAATTCTGTAAGAATCAATGAATTTGATTCAATGAATATTAAACTCAACCTGATTTCATGTTCATTTGTATGTGTTATAGCATTACAAACAAGATTTAAATTCTTATTTTTGTTGGAAGGGACGAGAAGTTGACAAGAGTTCGATTCTTAGAAAACCCTTTCAGCACGATTCAGTCATTAGCATTAATATCAATGTGTTGAACTTTCCCCCTTTTGCTGCTTCAAAGTCAAGGGGGATTCAGATTCCTTAGAATACACTTTTGCAATGGATCATCCAATGCCAAGGCTCCTGGTGTCCCTTTGTATTCCTGTATTCCACTGAACCTAGATCCGCCGTTATTTCAAGCACGTGGAAATTCATTATAACATTGCAAGAAAGCTTTCCCATATATTGAATGCATAAAATCCTATTTCCTGTCTCATTTAATTCAACTTTAAAGACATCAAGATATGATACCAGAGCATAGCCAACTACCGACAGAATTTCCTGAAGTACACTACCTGAGTGAGCCGAGAAGGCATCTTTACTGATGGTGACAAGCACGTGACTTCCATTCCTGTCCCCGAGCGCTATGCCATATGCTTCACATTTATATGACGTGTTGTTATCACTTGTTGTCAACAGATGGAGGAACGATAATGAGGTGTAAGTGTTGTCGATGAAAAATGCACCTAAAAGGTAAAAAAAAGCGTAAAAACAAGGTAAGAATAGCAGCTTATGTTTCATTTCCTGTATTTCTGACATACACATCCCAGACTAAAATCATTTGTATAGGATGAAAGGACTTTAGGTGACAATTTGCCAGGGGGTTCAGAATACATTTTCCCTCGATTGTGATTAGGGGCAACGTTGATATTATCATATGTAATAAGAACATCTTTTTGGGTAGTTGATACCTTATGACATTTTGACCTGTACATGTACAGTATGACTTTTCAAGTGAACTGTTGCGAGCGCGCAATTTACAAGTTCCACCATGCAGTCTTTCAAAGGTCTCTTCACCACCTGTCTGCCACCCAGTGTCAAAATTGTTATCTTCCAGCAAAAAACAATAACAAAAACAAAACTTAGGAGAATACTTTAGGCTAAAGTGGGCTAAAAATAAACCTGTCAAAATATGTATCATTTCCCATGTTAAAGTAGTTGCATAAACAGTAGAGGACAGAGACAGATATCATAACCTCTGGCTTCTTCTGTTCTTGAAGCAGTTTGTTTGCGGCATTAAAAATCATGCCCAATACATACACTTTTTGTAAACTATTTGTAATCAGATCAGCGGCATTGCATCTCAGTTTAAGCTTCACGGTGTGCTAAGATAGATACATACGATTTGCAAGATAAGCAATAAAGATCAGCGTATGAAAAAAAATTAAAAGGAGACGCACTTTTTCAACAAAATCTAATCAGTCTGATGCAATTTTAGTGACAATAGATTCATACGTTTTGTTTGATTTGAGGGTCAGTGGTTAAGAAGCTGGTTTAAAAATGTGGAGACAAAGACCATGATTAGCTTCTGGGCCATTGCCTCTATGATGGTTTCCATCCCAAAGAGGTCGAAACGTTCTCCTTTTAGTCTACATCCAACACCATAAACAAGCCAGTTCACTGCATGTAATTTAATTTTCCTTTCTTGATTTGTAGCTCTGAAGTGTATTTCTGAGGAAACCGCGCATAATTGAAATACACATGTATCTAAAATGAACAAATGCGTTTTTTCTCAAAACAAGAAAATGGGAATAATCCCTGTGTTGTGCTGAAACAAACACGGATACGTTTATGTACAACGTTTTGCGATCCGTTTTCTAATCCCACCTTTCGAAAAAATTGGTATCATGTGTCGCAGAGATCACCGGAAACAATTATCAAATCTGTCAGGCCGATTTGTCTTTTCAAGTATAATAAAACATTTTTTTTCATTATTCATTAAGTGGTTTTTTTTCAAAACAAAAAATGCAGAAAATCCTACGTTGTCTTGAAACAGGCATAGATGCAAAACCTTTAACTCTTATTCATATCTCACTAATTCACATATGCCTTTTGTTTATTTGTTCTTAGGGAAAGATTGTAGGAAACCATTAACAAACAGCTTTGGCGGGATGGCCATTCAAATTGCATAAAACGTCTATTATTTCCAATAATATACAGGGTGTCCACATAAAAGGTATACCGAGATAAAAATTACTGCATTAGCAAAACTACTTTATATATGGGAAAGAGAAAAGTATCTCTTATTCTGCATCCTTGCATGGTCTAGCCTTGTTAATCACATATGTAAACTTGTCACTGTGTTAATTTCAGTACTCTTAACACCGGTCTAGTTTGTTCACTCATCTGTGTCAATAACATCACAAGCTGTATGCCATTGCAAAGAGGGCATTTTTATTTATTTGCTTTATGGCCAGTGGGATAACTCAGTCGACATTTGGCTCACTCTGAAGCCTTTTGGCCCACTGTAAGGCTTTTCACAAACTTTTCGTTTTTCTTTTCATTTTTTTTCGCTGGAGGATAACGATTTTTAGTAAGGTTGCGGGCAGCTGATAAAGAGACCTTTGAAAAGGTTGCACGAGGCAACTTGAAAGTCTAATCTTTTGCACAATGCAGTTACAAAATACTAGTAAAAGATTCATTTGCTAACTATAACCAGAGAATTCCATAGTAAATCACGGGCTAGGGTTTGGTGGTTATTGCGTACGGCGAACGGACTGCAGAATATATATTTTTTTTAAACAGGACAGGAACAACGATGTTAGGTTTTATACATGATTTCCTTTACATTTAGAATTCCGGTGAGGCAAAGACGCAAAGACTTTGCATTAATTAGGGTGGGAAGAGTGGGCTCCAAGATTTACTATGTGCTCATCACTCAACAGACACAAAAAGCAGCGCCAAAATATTGTGTAATTTTCATTCAAACTGAGAGAAAAAAGGTCAACATTTTGAAAAAATACCATCACTATTAATATGAACATTACATTCCAGTTAGGGCTTATCCAAGCATCATTGTATACAGTTTGAAACGTTTATTACATGTGTCTCGTTTGAAAAGATTTTTATTTACATAAGTTTATTTTTTACACACTTCTGTACAATCTCAATCTTAATCTATGAATTATGCAGGTACCTAGAGCGGCTCTTTTTTCAACGAAAACTGGACTAAATTTGAGGGTAATAGGATGACGATTTTTATTTCTCAAACTTGGACACACGCAATGCATAAAAAGTTACAAGATTACTTCGTACAGAATATACCCAGTTAGGAATGGAAGTTTGGTGGAGGGATATTGTACAATTTCATACATTTTTATTTCGCATAATGCAAATTAGCCACGCACAATTGCAAGTTAAAGTTGGTTATTCGTGTGAATAGAATAGGTATGGTGGCCCTGGAGGGACATCGTTAATCGTCAATATTGCCGTCACTATTTGCAACCAAATTCACCACTCGCTCTATGGTCGCAATTACTGCCGTCAATATTTGCGATCGAGGAGTGGTTGAAAAATTTGGTCGCAAAAGTTAACGTCAATGACGACTGGCGATGTCCCTCTAGGGCCACTATAGACAGCTGACAGACTTGAAGCGGCAAGCTTAATACAAACCATTAGCCTATATAGCAACTCACCTGGTCTATGTACAAGCAGCTTCGTAGTAGGAGTAGCTTCAACGCGCTCTGTGTGACCATCATCGAACACACGGAACCACTGGAGGTTTACCGGAGGTTTGGCGTGGTCAACTTGACATGTTAAGCTGACGGTTACTTTGTCGTGCGGTACGTGTGATATGCAGGTATCGGCAGGCGCTTTCGGTTGCGGATCGCATTCATGAACGATGGGAAACGGCTGCTTTGTAGTAACTATAGGTCGGGACAATAATTTTACTTGTAGTATTGGGGGGAGTCAAATAAAAATATCCTGTAACAGTAATCTTCAAATCGTGTTTTTACCAAAAATATTCATTTCCTGCTATACGCAGCCGTTTTTAATGTTTCTGGGTTTTGCTACCAACCTTTTACAGATACCTCCATAGATCCTTCGTATATCCTGCCCAATTTCGGCTCAACCTTGTAATAATACGTCCCTTCAACTGAGTCTGTTACGTTCTGAATGATCAAACTGAAATTGCTACTGATATTGTACTGGCCTTCAGAGATGCCGTCTTGGGGAACGACGGCCCCTTGAGAGAACAAAAAAACGACATGCTCCAACTCTTTCTGGGGGAAGTACCAAACTACGAATTCTAAGTCACCAAAACTGTAAGCACTAGCATCAGGGTTGCAAGGGACAATCCCCTGAAGGCCTCGTTCGAAAAACAATATCTCCTCACAATATGCCGGGATGTAACCAGACGACACTGCAAACAAACATAATACGGAAAAGTTAATGCAAGTGTGAGATCAGCATACAAACCCACTACCTGACAGTAACTCTGCATTAGTTTGAAAACAAAATTCCTATGTCAATGGCAGACAAGACAGGTGAGAATAAATTGAGGAGAAGAAAAGATAGACGAAAAGTATACCACCATAACATTTGTGTCCAATTTACAGCTCTAAATATAACTAAGTAACTCTATCAGGCCTGCGGGGCACACGTCGTGAGCAAAAAATCTTTATCAAATACTTACTGAGTGCCATCAGTAACATCTTAAGGACTGCTGACAGCATCATTTTGAATTTGGTCCTGGAAGTGATCAAGGAAAAGTTAAGTTTGAGTTATTGTACATTCCATAAGTTCAACTTAACCCAGTTAGGAAAAGGAGAGAGCTGGGCAAGGTTCGGCCCTCATTCCGCTTGATTTAGGTTTCGCGCGCATATAGAGCAAAACCATGTGCTACAAACTTCCCACAAACGTTGCAACTCATCGCCGTTCACTGAGAATTAGCAGTTGCTTGGATTACTTGATTGATGATCATAAAATACAGTAACAAAATTTTTCTTATGGTGACACTTAATCGAATACGGTAACAAATGTCAGGAGTCAGGTCGGTGTAGTGCTCTTTTCCTAGCCTTCCACCTCTGGGAGTCTGGGTTTAATCTGGCTCAGTCCACATGTCGATTGGGATTTCAGTCCCTACCTGAGTCTGCAGGTTATCCCGGGGGTTTTCCTCCCACCTCTAAAACTGAACATTTCTTCTTTTTTCCTTTCATTGTCATGCTGTAATTGGCGCTAAATGCGCTGTTGGGTGATCAGATATAAATATTACATAAAGGATGTCCGAACCTATTCACAAAGGCCTTACATAGCACGAGCGAAGGTAAGGACACTGACAAGAACAGCAAAGAATGACAAAATCAAGAGGTACAATTTTAATTTTCACGAAACCGATATTCTTACAGTAGATTGTTATTCTTGAGCTCCGACAGGTGGTTTTAAATTATGGATAGGGCCTAAAGTCGTTCCTATCTTGAATGTCTAAATGGAACGTTTTTCTCAAAGTGAAGCTGTACGTAACACATTTGTTTGTGCATAACGTGCACCCAACACAAGCATGGTTGAGGCCATGAACATGTAGGCGAGCAAATGAAAATCCGTGAAGGAAAACTCCACGATATTGGAGTCCGGTGAATAGAAATTAGCCACTATAAGACGTCTTCAGTCTAGATGATAAATAAGCAGGACAATGTACTTAAACCTCATCAAGAAACCTGTTGACTTGAGTCAAATATTACTGGCAACGTGGATGACGGGTCCAAATTTAAAAGAAAGGTCTTTTTGCGTTTAGTATTAGAAAGGTCTGGGGTATTTTGTTAAACTCGGTTTAGCATCCTGATCAATAAAGATACTGTAATACTGTTATAAAGATAACGTTCACGAAAATAACTTTATAACTAAAAATTGATCAGACAACATTAAACCCAGTTGCACAGAAAAGCGGTTTTTACAAAAAATAAATACGATCAGCTTTGGAGGAAAATACGTCCACGGTCTTTCTCATTTTAAACAACTTTTCCAGTTTATCCAAACAAACAAAAGAAAGTTTCATGTATTTAAGGACCTGCTAACAACATCAGTTTTAAGTTATTACGAATTGAACA